TTTTTTTTTTTTTTTTTCCGATGAATTTATCAATAAAGATTATTGTTTCCAAGACGATTTGATATCTTATTTATCTGATATGATACCACAAATATTATTTATTATTGACACGGCGTCAACACCGCTCATCTTTCATATTTCGCAAACTTCATATTTGTGCACAAAAAAAAAAGAAGTTACTCGACCTATTTGATGAGCGTCGCGGAATTAATGACTCACTGTTAACTTCGCTCGAACTTCTGAAAAACAAGCGGCGACAAATTACGTAACGTCGGATTAAATAACGAGCGGGCGCGCAGCGCGGCGATGGCGGTGCGTCACGCGGCGTGAGTCGTCCGATTTCCATATCAGGATCCTGGAAATCTCGACTTGCATCTTCCCCCCCTTCTCTGCCGCGATGTAACTTCGTCTCCGCGAATCTTCGCGACGACGTTTCGGCGTGCGACGCGTCGGTCTCCCGCTCGTGTCACTAAACTCACCGGTATTCGAGTCGGCGCGGATTGTTTGCTCACTCGGGAAACGGCATACACGCACGCACGCACACACATACTGCCTGCTCAGTCGCATACGTTTATACCTGCGGAAGGACGCGAATCGCGCTATGAACGCACATCTTGCGAGACTCGGAGTGATTAGCCAAGGTTCACCGCTACCTGCGCACGTGTGCGCGTAGGTGACATTCATCGCGATGAGAGCACGCGAGGTATCCCGCGAAAATGCAACGGGCTTTTACACAATCCGCACCGCCGTTGCGTTCCGTTCTTATCATCCCGCTTCTTTCTTCAAAAGCCAAAGTTCATCGACGGTTGCATAATGAAAAGACGAGCGCATCGTTTTATTGCCAGGATTTAATTTCCCACGCCGCGTCGATTATGATGTAATAATTTAATAAGTACAAATGTACGCTCGCGAAATAGAAATCTAATAGCAGCGGAAAAACAAATCTTACGCAAGACACTTTGTAGCGATTCGAAAATTTAATATGCGCTAGGAATTTTGTCCAAAATGTTTTTTTCACATTAAATGCATTCTTTCGCGAAACTACGATGTGCGAAATTTTCGAGCGGTTTAACGGCGTGTAACTGTCGCGCTCGTTGGAACATGCATTTTTTTTTTCCTTACAAAATCGGATCTGCACATCGTCGATTATCACAGTGGCGATAAGCGCGCGATGCAGTTGACACGTGGAGAGCACGTTGCTGTTAAATTATTCGCCTGTATATGGAACGCGTCGATTTACGTAATGGATCTTATCTCTTGTCTAAAAGTGGATTCCTTATATATAGGCCACGCGTGGCAAATCGGGCATGAGATTAGCGCGTCGTGTGTGATTTTCCGAACACGGCATGACGGGCGATCCGAAAATAGAAGAGAAAAAAGATAATCTTGCTCGCATCCCGGGAGATGTAGTAAATATCGGAAACTTGGGTAAACAAGCGGCAACTACACGACGCAGTCGTTCGGTGTCCAGAACACGTGGAGCGGCTAGGAAGATGCACGTGCGATTGCGTAACACTCGGATTAAACGTACTTACTTACGTATTTACGCGAAGGCGAAGCCGGAGACGCAGAGTGTGGATATTTTCATCTGCGATCGCGAGTTAAAAATAAACGCGCGCGCTCGCGCGCGGGAGGAAACGCGCTCCGGCAACCGATGCTTAATCGGCGGCCGATAATCAGCGTGCAGACAGTTTAATTATATGGACTTACGTCACGTTTGCCTTCGACGATGACGACGATAATTCCGCTGAATGGAATCGGGGAATCTGATGTCGAAAGTCATCCGATCGATCGGTGATTGAAGACTCAATCTTCTGGAAAGCGTCCGTCGTAAAGATCGAGGACCGGTTCGTCTTGAATAATCAACGTGGTCATCTAAAAATTAGCAAAACAGTGATATTTTTGCGAAAAATCAAAGGCGAATGTTCGCGCCGAGTTCACTGGCACCTGCGACCTTGGCGAAACGCGACCTTACCCAAGGCTATTTTGCAACTTCGGGCGAGAGAAGCGCCCGTTGGCAGTGCGAGCACGTCTTCCGATCTCTCGGAATTCTTTATCTCTGCCCATTCTCTCGTTTTAGTCCCCGGCCACATTTACACCCACGATCGACAACGATTGTCCTCCGGTCACCGAAATACGCGGACGACGCCGGCGTCGCAAATGGTCGCATAAATCAGACGCCTTTGTTGTGTTAAAATGTGTGTCACGGAATAGAAAGTATGGAGGGTAAAAATAAATAAAAAGAAAAAAAGATTATTCAATAAATATATACAGGAACTTTCATCAATATTCGCAAAGATTCCAATCCCTTGTTGTACTAAAATTTTTGTTAAAGATAACGTAGAAAAAAATATGAATAAAGAAAATTACTTTTATCTTTTGTCGTATAAAAACTTTGTGTTACGCTGTAAAGAAATATTGAATAAAGCAACGAGAATGAAGAAAATTGTATCATGTATTGTAAAAAATGTGAAAATTGTAGGGAAAGCTCATGAAAAATTTGGTAACACATAGAATCCGCGTTTCTTAAAAATCCGATTTTGTACAACAGCTGTGATTAAGCTCTTCAATTATAAATAGCGTTCCCTATGTGCCCATTCGTCTGCGGAATAATACGTAATCCGATCGTTAGCCAGTCCTCTACGTGACGTATGTGCTACATATTATCGCCGTCGCCTGGCACGCTACGCGACTTTCGTCATCGCCGTTAATAAGTACGCATTGCGCGCGTGAACTGACTCGAAAGTGACGCGAAACAAAAATTTCCCGAGCTCTTTGAAACAATTTAGTGATAAAGCAATGTGCGTAATTTAAATGAGAGCAATTACAGAAAAACTTCTGTATATTAAAGATGGCTATATTAAGTGGCTCAAAATTTAGCCAGTTTATCGTTCAATTTAGTAGAAGAAAAATAATCGCGCCCTCCGATTTACCTAACAAGTGTTTTTTTTCTCTTTCGTTGCAGATGTACTAAGAAGACGAATTATGGTGGCAGAGTTTGTCGCCCGCCAGAGTGGATCGCCCATCAATGGTGAGACCGCGTGTCTGAACAGCAACATGCCGGCCACGCACACAATGGCGCACAACGGGCACGGTGCTCCGCACAGCGGACCCCACGACGCCCACGGACCGCTCACGGTACCCCTTACCCATCCCGGTCATCACGGTGGACCGCCGACCGCGGCGACGATCCAACAGCAGCAGCAACAGCATCAGCAGCATCAATCGCAGCAGCAACCGCCGCCGCTGCAGCAACCGCAGCACCATCACCATCATCCGGGACAGCAATCGGCGCAGCAGCAACAGCAGCAGCAGCAGCAGCAGCAGCAGCAACAGCAGCAGCAGCATCTTCATCACGACGCCGGGCAGGTGAACACCCACCCCCCGGAGAGCTACTCGCCCAACTTTGACATTCGCAAGGAGCTGTTCTCGCAACGCAAGCAGCGCGAGTTCATCCCCGACAACAAGAAGGACGACAGCTACTGGGATCGCCGTCGGCGCAACAACGAGGCCGCCAAGCGATCGCGCGAGAAGCGCCGCTTCAACGACATGGTGCTGGAACAACGCGTGATGGAACTCAGCAAGGAGAATCATATCTTAAAGGCGCAGCTCGACGCGATACGCGAGAAGTTCGGGATTTGCGGCGAAGCCGTTATCAACACGGAGCACGTGTTGGCGGCATTGCCGAACGAATCGACGATCAACGTGAAGCGCGCCAAGCTACCGGCGACGACGGCCCTTCTGTACGCGCGCACCCCGAGCCCGGTGCACACGTCGGTGATCCATCAGCCGGTGAGCGGCGCCCGTTCGCCCCGTTCGCCCGCCGCGCAGCTCTTCGTACCGGACGCGACGGCGTATCCCGAGAGCGAGAGCTTCCACCAGTATCCGTACTCGCACCCGGCGATGCACCACCACTTGGACACTTCGACGAGCGCGTTGAATCTATCGTCGCGCGGCCGCCGGGCGCAATCACCGTACGAGCTGTCGTCCGGCAGCGGCGACGAGGCCGGCGGCCCGCCGATGGTCATCGGCTCGCAGAACAACCCGGCCGCGAACAACAGCCTGCCGCACAAGCTCAGGCACAAATCGCGCATCGGCGACAAGGACGCCGCGAGCGCGCTCCTGGCATTGCAGGGCATCAAGCAGGAGCCCGGACCGCGAGCGTCGCCGCCGTGGGACAACGAGGGCTCGAGCGACGAGCGCGATTCCGGCATCTCGCTCGGCGCCGAGTGGTCCGGCTCGACCGGCGTGTCCGCGGTCTCGGAAAATGATCGGGAAGTGAAGCTGAAACTCGATCGTCTCGCGTCCGAAGTCGCGAGCCTGCAGTCAATACTACGTTTGAAGCCCTCAGGCGCCCCGGTGGCGGACAGCCTCGTGACGGGGCATGCCGCGGTCAGCGGACCGTGAAGGACGCGGCCCATCTCGCCGGATCGCGCGAGTCCTTCCTCCTCTTCCTTCGGCCGAGTGCCTTGGGATTCTTGCAAACGGATTGTGGAGGCATGATCAAGATGTCGTGAGGGAAGACCGTCGCGGAGTTCGACGTCGAGCCGGATGTCGCGCCCGAAGTCGATCGCAAAGGATCGAGAGAATTTTGTAAAGTTTGTTTGTTTGTTTAATGAAGATTGCGAGAGACTTTTTCGTTCGCCAGTGCAACGAGAGCAAGTGACTGGCGATCAATTAATATTCGCAATTAAATGTTGGAATTTTCTGCAATCTTTTTTTCGATTTAAATCCCTGTCACATCTAATATTTTATTTAATAATAAAAGGAAGAATATATATTTTCTATTAACGAGAAACTTGATTCATGATTTGTGATTGCTAATTACGGCCGATCTGCTCGTTGCATAAGCGGTCTCGAACGGACGATAATCGGAAGACGCGACGACAGGACGATGCGTCTCGCTTGCGAAACTTTAATCCTGCGACCGATGGTCCGTTGCCTCATTGGAACGCGAGCGTTCTTCTTCGGTAAAATTATAACTTATTGTGATAGAAAGTGACGCCAGTTTACGCCGTTTGGGATTCCCGAGTGTCGACGACTATCGGTCGGAGGGTTCAAAGAGCCCTTATCTGAAGTGGAGTTAGGAGTTAAGAGCCGATGCGATACCTATAGTGTTGTAAGTTACGTTGTAAGACTCCCGTAGGTTTAATCGTTTCTTCTAATTATTACCATTATCGTTGATTAGAGCTTTGTCGATTCGGGCAGTCGTATCGCGGCGAATCGTGCCGGACGTTGTTATTCCACGCGACGCGAATCACTCGCCGATTGATAATTGATCGCGCAACCGGCTATTTCACTACCATCGGATATCCATAAATACGATTCATTCTCCGCGTAGCGAAGCGGGGATTCTTCCTCTTTTTCTCTGTTTTTTTTTTTCTTTTTTTCGTCATCGTCATCTTTGTTTGCGATCACGCGTAAAGCGGCGAGCGACGGACGACCTCGCACGGCGGAGCTTCGAGGCGCGGCTTGATCATTTATTCATCGCCAAAAGGACCGAACTTTCCATCTTGCACGATCAATACCAAATATCGAAAGTTTCTGTAAGCAATCGTTCATCTTGCTTGAAATTTCAAAGATTCGGTTTGCTGGTGTTCATTCCAAATTCGCTTTTTATTTATTGCTTCTTATCGCACCTCGAAAGCCGCGCCGGCAACTTCGACGAAGCCTTCCGCCAAGTCCCCGAACTTTTCCTCTTCGTTCCCTCGCGGATTTCAGTTCGGAAGAGAAAAGAAAAAAAAGATAAATAAATAGCGAGGCTGCGTCTCTTCGACGCTCGCGCCGGATTTTCACGTCGAGGTCCAATTCTCTCGCGACTGTCTATCTCTTTTTTATACTTTTGCTATCGAATCACTACGATCGACGTACGTAGCGTGTCTGTATATATGTATATGTGAAGACGAAAGTGCATCTGTGTTACAAGCGCCGTGACGGGGAAACGCCGACTCGGGCGTGTGCGTGCCGCGGAAGAAAAATCCTCTTGGAAGGCGGAATTTAGCGCGTATTGAAGTATTAAGTGAGCCTATGGGTGTAATGTAATATATACACAGCAGATATATACTTGCAAGAAATATATATATTATATATACACAGATATACATATATATATATGCATATATATATATTTTTCAAATTAATGTATTTTTCGATATCGTCATTGAAACGAACTGTAACGCGTGTACAGCGCTCGAGTGTGTGTCGTCGCCGATTCGAAGGTAGGATGCGCGTCGTCGGGAAATCGAAGTCGCGTCACCGGCAATCAGAACCAAAGTGCGATTTTTTTCTCCCTTCCTTACCGAGAGCAGGATGTTCATCGATCCGACGAAGCGAGCGGCAGGAAAAATCGGCGATGCGGAAAAGGAGTCCGACGGTACCGGGAGTTACGCAGCTTAGCGTCCCGCTGATCCCGATCGACCATCCGTTTTTACCATATGTGATACGTAGAGCGCTAGAGAGAGAGACGCGAAATCGACGTTAACCTCGAGGGCGATCGTGAAAAGGGCACCTCTATTTATTGCACACTAATCGCCCGTGTCACGGCGGGGGCGAACGATGGAAGACGAGGAAGAAGTCGGCGTACGGAGTCCTCCCGCCGCGTCGCGAGACTGTATTCGGCGTCGCTCGCGGAAACGATCTCGTCTACATATTCCTCTCGCTTTCCCTTGTTTTTATTATGTTACTCTCCTCGCAGTATAAATGTTCCGAATTTCGTACGGCGCGGAATTCCACGAGCGGCGTCGACGGTCGCGCGCGCGCAGGGGGACTCGCCGATTCTCAACCTCGAAATCGACAGAACGCACGCGGGGTTGCGGCGTAGCCAGCAATAATTCCGAGTCATCGTCGCCGAGATGTAGGAAGGACGAGGCTTCGCCGGCGATACACCGCGTCGCGTGTAAAATACCGAGAGTGCCTGTAATGACGGAATCGTGTGCGTTTCTCGCCGCGGCGGCGAGAAGGAACAAAGATGCAGTACCGTGCGTGTAAATACATACATTATTATCTTCTACTGTTAACTATCGAGCGCGATCATTATTGCAAATCAGCGTCGACGACGATCTCGACACGATTCCGAATACGATTCAATCACACACACACACACACACAGACACACAACTACCTACACACCGATTACTCGCGCACTTATGCCTCGCTCGCCTCGAACGATCGCACGCGACGATTGCGAGAGAGCCGCAAACTCTTGTACATACAATCGCACGTTTTTGCCAAAAAGCAGTTCACAGAGGACCGCCGGAACCGTCGGCCGGAGAAGGAACGACATTTTCGCGCCCGAACCTCTCTCCCCCTCCTTCTTTTCTCTTCCTATTTGTATCCCGCGAAATCGTTCACGCGCGCGTTTCGACTACAGTTCCTATTGCACTATACTAAACGGTAAAAGCGACTTAGAGGCGAGGACCGATAAATCTGTCGTCTGCGTCGTCGTTCACGATGCGAAGACCGCAATTCCAGCCGATCTAAATAAGCTTTTTGATTTCTCCTTCCTCCGGCTGTCCGGAGATGTAAGTATTTAGACACTAAGGGACATATCTACAGCGCGTGTAGTGTACTTGTATATGAAATACCGATAAATAAATATTTTCAATGTTTTTGACAAAGCCCCCTCCTCGTTGTTCTTTTATTCCTCCCCTTCCTCCCTCCCCGAGCATTCTCTCATTAAAAAGGTATGGAGCATTCTTCGTACAAGTCGTATATTTCGTATGAAATATAAATCAGCAAAGAACATGGATGCAACATTCCCGCGAGAAACAGGCGGAAGATGTGCGGAAGATTATGTTTCAAACGTAAGATATAAATATAAATAGAATCTCTGGACGATTAAAATACCACGCGTAATTACATAAAGAATACGAAAAAATATACTTATATGTATACATCGCAAAGTTCACATTTGTTCAGTCTAGAAAAGCAATTTCTATTCATCATGACCAAATAAAAACCAAATAAAAATTAATCATACCTGTATAAGATTCCTCTAAAAAGCTAGAAACATCCAGTTGATGATTGAAAAATCGATGATTGAAATGAAAACAGCGACGCTACATCTTTAGAAACTATCTATGGCCTCCTCACATGATCATGATTTTTGTAAAACTACCAAGCGATTTTCCACAGCGTGTGAGTGTGTACAATCCGAACGAACGGAGCTGCCTATGCCTTAAACTTATGCGCTCGACGATTACTTTCGCTTTTTACATTTGGTTCTACCGCGTCGTCTGCGCGAGGAGTTCTGGCGGGTGTCGGACTTTTTCGACGACCTGAAAATGCAAAATCGAAATTGGATTTCAGGAATGCAGTTCAACTCAATAAATTAATTCAACGCCACCATTCAAACACTTTGTGAGAATTTAGCATAATCGAGCATTGGAACCTGTACCTGTGAACCCTATTCACCGAGACGGAAGTGTGCTTTTTCAACGTCAGATGCTGCTGAACTAGCTCTGCTAGTTTTCCCTGTTGAGCGAGCATCGAGAGGAACGTGCAGATAAATTCATCATAATTATGCGTCCTCCGACAGTCGTCGATCTACAAAATTCGCAACAACTTCTTAATACTTTACAAAATTAAACTATAAGCAATATAACTGCGCGAATTAAACTACAATTATGAAATCGATAACGATCTTCCTCATTGAAAATAACAGATGATGTTTGAGGATCTTGTAATATTTTGCTGGTTTTTTGAAACTCTTCTAATATATTATTATATAATATAAGCATAAACATAAATTCAAGTTCTTCCATTTTCTCGTGAATAATAGATGCTTCTCTTTTAGTTTCGCCATTTTCATATTCATTATCTTGAAATGTTTTCAAAGTATCAATAATCAAATCGTAATTTTTTAAAACTGCTCTTGTAGCCATTTGCAGAACACAATAACGAACCTTGTACTTGTTTCTTTTGTCGTTCTCGTCCTTCAGGCTGGTCTCACACACGCTGATTTCGTGCTCTAGGTTCTTCAGCAGCGCCAGGAGGTCCTTTGGTGCGAACGTATGCGGTTCAAATAGCTCCGGATACTTGGAGCACAATTTGGGATCGATCTTCTCGACCTTTTTCTCCTCCGTCACCGTGTCGCCGTTGCTGGTTTTTACGCGCGCGTGTGGAATCCTGACTTCGCCGGACAAACACACCTTTTTGTGCAAATGGCCGCTGTCGGAAACTAACCTTTTCCCGTTTATATTTATGTTTCCCAGAGAACGACCTGTTTAAACGTTCGATTTCGATATTAAATACATCACAAATCTGGATTATAAATTGCAGAAGTAACTAATTCGTACTCAGTCCCGCCTCGTTTTTCTCGTCGCCAGCGACTCTGATCACCACGAATTTTTTGAAGTCCTTGGTCGACGTAGGACTGCTCTGACCGGAATTCCAACCCCAAGCTAGAAAACATCAAGACATTCAAAATCTCTCTCAGTGAACACCAAAGTTTCGTAGTGAGTGATTGTACAATCACAAAATACTCGATCGTTTTACTGTCTGTGTAAAAGCATTTCCAGAAACTCCACTCAATTACCGGCAACGAGCGGCGTCGGCAGAAGACAGGTCAAATAACTGTACGCGGAAGGTGCGAAACAAGGCGTCTGCGTGTGAAAAGTACATAATGTTCACGAAACGGATCCGTGACTGGTGCAGTCTGTAGCGGGACAAGATGCGGCTCGCGTTCGCGGCCTTTTTCGCATGCAGTGCGATCCTCTCGGCGGAATCCTCGAGATGCCCGGAACCGCGGAAACCGCATCTCACCAGCTGCACGATTTTCTACAACTGCATGAACCTACCGGGCGGCGGCTACGTGTGGGTGCCGTCTAGGTGTACCGAGGGCTTGGTAAGATGTTAACGAGCGAGCAAACAGATGTTAGAAAGACTCCGGGCATTTGAAATTCCAATAGCCGAACCGTTAATGAGACGCGAAAATACGATTTCAGGTGTTTCAACCGTATTTACGGATGTGCGTGGTTCCCGGCGATATTTGGACGTGCGACACACTTTCCACCGACAGCACCTTCGTGACGGAGAGATACGAAACGCCGGAGCTGATCGATCCGACGGAAACCAGCTATCTGGGCTACACGCAGGATCCCCCGGACTTCTCCGAGGCGATCGACTCGTCTTACGCAATCAGCGACTTCGTCGATTCAACGATCGAGGCGGTCACCGCGCAACCTTTAATCGAATTCGAAGACTCAACGCGCGTGAACTCAGGATTGAGAAACGTAACGTATCACAAGGAGGAGAATTATCTGTACGAGTACAATAGTCAAATAACGCAGTCGCCGCTGATGCAAAAGTACAAGGACATCATAGACAGTCATCAGAAGTGGTTGAACGATCTGATAACTCGATTGCACATCCACAAGGAACTGTCGGCCGCGATATCAGCTTCTTTGTCGGCGTCTGTCGGAAGCGGCACGACCACGAGTCCAATTCAAACAATCACGATATTCGCGTCGCACAACCGGAAGCAGAACATATCGGTGAATTATCAAAGTCACTTCGAACCAAATAACGTTAAGCCGAACGAGATAGACAACGTCGCAACGACGACTGATGCCGTTTCGACGGCGAGCACCTTGGACCTGTTAGTTAACAGTCTTGATCCCGACAACAATGTAATAAGGATCACTGATAATCTAGGAAACAGACGATATCTCACGATCAACGAATACAGAGTCACCGCTCATCGATTATCGTCGCGTACCGTCAGCGTTGTGGCGTGCACGAAGAATGTTCGTCTACCGAATAAAACCGATTGCGACAGATATTATATGTGCGATCCGAAAACGGCTTCTGTGACGGAGTATTCTTGCCCACCGCATACGGCTTTTAACATGTACTCGCGGATCTGCGATATCGAAAGCGCGAAAACGTGCGGACGCAAGCTCTCGACGAGTGAAATATTCACCGTCGAGCGTGAAGACGCGACGATGCACAGTGAGGAATCGTCGGAGGAAATGTTATGTAAGGAGCTCGGCAAGATAAAGGATCCTGCTTCCGATTCACATTACTATATTTGTTACAATGCACCGGGATCCGAAAAAGTCAAGTCGATCCGAATGACATGTCCGAACGCTCTGATATTTTGTCAGAGCAAAAAAGTATGCACCGTCAGACGACTGTGTGATGTGTCGTAATGAAGAGCAAAGCATGTATTTTTTGTTTACCTTGGGTAGGCGAATTAAAGGCAGATCCGATTTCCGACGACGTGTCCGTACTCGAAGAACTATGAGCCGGCGAAGTCTGAATCTGCAGCGGCGTGGCATAATCGAGAGCGCACATCACTACTTTCTCCATTCCACTAAAATCGAATAAATCGATAAAATATTGCCATAAGCATCGCATGCATTCGTATTGAAATTGCAGCGCCGCAAAATCGTATATCATAAGTTATTTAACGACAAAAAAGGAAATAAGTACAATTGTAATTTTTTGACAGCAGAAATTTATAGAAGAGATTTACAAGTTACTTTATTTATCTCCATTACCGTTGTATTTTCAGGTTTATTTAAATTAAATAAAGTGTTGAAATAAAACTAAAACTATTAATAAAAAAGAAAATAATATTATTTACCTAGATTCAGTTTTCCCAGATGTGATGCTGGAGACTGTTTCGTCAATGACCACCGCCGAATCGTTACTACCTTCAACATTGATGGCGGGAATCGAGGGCGATTCTTCAACCTCCGTTTTAGCAGGCAATCCGTTTTCGTCCTCAACTTTATTTCTCTTTTCTTTATCGGCCTCTACGTGCGAGTTTTTCTCCACATTACCGCCGTCTTGATGGCTTAACTTCACCAGCTGCTGCAACGCCTCCAGGACTATCTGTCTGTTGGTCTTCAACATTGTTAATTTGTGCGAGATAGCGAGGCGTCGGTCGGGTACGACGGCCATAAGATTGAATCTAATATCCTGCAACTGCTCACCCGTTGCCATGCCTAAGCGATCGGTTATGACACGCCTGAACTGTTCCGTCCACTCCTCGTGTTCCTTCCATGGCCCATGATCCATGGGATACGGCTTCAGGCCGTCCAGCTCGAAAAGCCGACCGTTTATCGGCACATAGCTGACAAAGTGAAAAGCTTCGCCGGTGAATCTGCCTGTTGAGACGCCGGTATTTTTGTCCTGCCGCCGCTTGGCCTGTGGCATGGCATGTGAGTTGTGCGCACATGCCAGTTCCGGTGTGTTGCCAATCGCCCAGCCCTTGTTCTCCGGACACATACCAGAAGTGTGCATCTTTAATCGTGACAGTGTTGTGCCTAAATGGATATTCGGACAATTTAGTAGAACCGAAAGCAGTGCATGAGTAGCACAACTGTTCGGGACAACCTGCAACAATTATATAATATTAAATGTAATAAATTAATTTTGTATCATATTATCTTAAACTGGATATGCAAAGAACTGTATGTTGGACCTGTTGTGCGAAGAAGATATTGTTGACAATCTCTTCATCTTTGACAAAACTTTCATCCTGCTCTACGACTTTACGTCTAGAACGCCGTTCTTCGATCCATCGAAATAAGAAGATAAAGCCATAGACCGGACCTTCCAGAGACTTTTGCAGATCGTAGATCTCTTCCACTTGAACACCCTTCACCCCGAAATCTTCTAGGAGCAGTGTGAACAAGCCTAACAAACCATAAACATAAAATTGCAGTTTTTACGCGTCACGAATTAACGACGCAAAATGACCATTTTCTAAACTAAATCTTCATTGACAGAAGATTGACAGAAAATTGACAGAAAAGTTATGAGTTATTAACGCACCGGGATCGCTCTCCAACTCTAGCCAACCCTCTGTCAATCGATTAATGTCAACGGGCATCTTTTCGGAAATCGTTGAACGCGAAACTCGACCAAATTTTCCGCGCAAATCATCAACAAAACACAAAATTATCGTATTCTGACAACCATCTTGGATCAAAACATATGTCACATGACGTAGTCACGTGGTAAATCGACAGGCCGCGTTTTCAATGCACAATCGCATTGATATCCAATGCTCAATAAAAAAAACTAGAAATAAAACCATGGTTAGCTAAAGTTCCTAGAAAATAATTTTTTTACTGACTTGGAATTTCACAAATTCAAATAAAAACTTGCAATATTTTTTAACGACTTCCGAAATTAAGATTGCAAGATTATTCTTACGATAATAGGAATAAAAGGCGGAAAGAGCCGTTGCAAGGTGTTCGTGCAGAAAATTCAAATTATATTATGAATACAAATTACAATTATAATCAAACGTTTCTGCCTATGTTAGGCCTTCTTCAGTGACATTACAAAAAAATACATAATAAAACCAGAGAGAAGACTGAGAGTGGACATGCCCGCATTTTACGTGTTTCTGTGGGCTAGCGCCTCTATATGCACAAAACGTGCACATTGAACTACGTAGCCAATGTCCAAGAATCCCGTAGGTAATGTCCACGATCTTTTGGGTCTCTTCCGTGCTACGTCCACGACTTTTTGGTTCTGATATTTGCTATATCTACAAAGTGTCGATAATGCATACTTGTAAAACATGATTATGTATATCAATCAGATTTGAAATAATACACACGTATTGTAAATACATGTATTGTAGTATTTACTTTTGCATTTACAGTTTATTTAGCAAAAGATCAGTTATTTTCAATAACCTGTGTAATTTGAAAATGTACATTTAAATTATTTTAATAAATTACTTCTATAATTTTGTGTGTGTGTGCGTGCGTGCGTGCGTGTGTGTAAATAAAGTATTGCATTTTTGTTAATATTTAAAAAGATGATAAACTCTTATAGATATTTCATACAGTAATGACCAATAACTTATTTTAAATATTAAAAGCCAAGGTTGGGCGTTAACGTTTAATATTTAAAATAAGTTATTGGTTATAAGTTATTGGAAAAATTAAATAACTAAAAACCATGAATTACGCAGTGAGTTCTTCTTAATAATTAAAATCCAATGTGAGAAGATATAAAATTGGAACTGTAACAATTATTACCCGTGTAAATTAGCATTTTTGGTATTTTTTAAAATATAAAAAGATAATACAAAAACTAATACATACTTATAATGAAAGAGCCAGAGAACCATTCTTACGATTTTGGCACACTCCATATTTGAGTATTAAAAGTACTCTTCCAAATAAGCGTTTAACAATTTATTATATATTCATATACAATATATATACATAATGAAATTTTCGTCTATTCTAGGAGAGACATCTTGGAATCCATACACTTTCTAATTTCTCGGGCCTAAACACTGATTGATCACACCAAGCAGCATAGAATTTTCTAAAGCTGCAGCTACTCTTTCCTTGTCTGCGAGTTGTTTGTTCACTGCTGCTTCTGAAACGTGAGTGCCAGGAGAAATTTCCACATTAACCTTGAACCTAGCTGGTAAAGCACGCAACAATTGAACACGAATGGACAATCCGATTAAAGTGGCCATGCTGCAATGAGGAATTGTTGGTGTAAACTTGACGTTCACTCTGTTTGCTTTATCGTCAACCTGTAACATTTAGTTTTTAGTAATTTTGAAATGCAGTAAAATTCAGAATATTGAAATTTATTAAGATTTACCTCAATGAGACTTTGGTCTACTACATTTAATTCTTCCAGAGTCAAAGGATGTTCTGGATCATTGATGTTCTTAATTATATCTGTAAATTATTTAGTAATCAGTATTAGATTTTATTTCGTTTATACAATACATACTTTTGGTTTTTAATTAGTAATAAAAAATAAAATATTTAATATAATATTAATGGCATTATTATACACAAGTTATTAAGAGGTAAGTAGAGATTAAATATATAAAGTAAATGTCCCAGTGGCCAAATATTTAAGAGAATCATTATTAAAGATACAATTTTTTTCTACCAAAATAATATTACTTTCATCTTTTCATATATGCAATAAAGATTAAAATTAATAGAAATAACACTAAAATTGTAAATATTATTTCAAATGTTATTCATAAATATTAAACTATTTTATATTTACTAAATAATTATTTTATTAGTACGTGAATAGAAATTAAGACATATCCAGCTACTGAAACATTTATATTAAATAATGCACATTATAGAATAAACAAGCGCCAAAACTCAATTATTAATACTTTAAAAATATTTTGAGGTTAAATACCGAAAATCTCTCTCGCATCGAATTCATCCGCAACATCTTCGTCTTCTTCTTCGCTTGTGATTTTTCTATCGTCCAATTTCTTGTAAAGCTTCGGATTAATATTCTCTAAATTGTCATTCATCGTGAATCAATGAGCAAACGTCGAATTGTTGTCATAACTCAACCACGAACATAATTCCAAACAAATTGTGAAACTAAAAGCATGAACTAAAAATTAATTAGATCAAATACAAGATTTTGAAAAATTTTTTAAAATAAAACTAGGAAACAACAAATCTGATTGGCTACGCCATTTTTATATATCTTATTTCAAATTAAATTGCGCTAAATTTTAGAACAAACTTAAAAATTTATATCCATCTAAAATGGCGCGTAATATGAAGAAGAGATTAAGAGAGGTTAGATTGCCGACTATGTGGTCTATAACCTCGCCGACACAAAGTTTTCACGTGTTAAACTAGAATTAATTATTGAAGAATGATATGTTAAACAGTTTTGTAGGCGTACATCGATCAACATGCTCTCGCGGGTCACGAGAAGCGTCCTTGCATCGAATGTCTCTGCGTTATTAAAGCAGGCAGCGATCAAGATCGAAAGACCCTCATTAACTCACGTAAGTCCAGTTGTCAATGCTATTCACACTAGTGAATATCGGCAAAAGAATGACAAGAAAGAAGACAAGGCGTCGGCTATCGTGCTCCACTCCTTCGAAAACGCCGAGAGAAAGAAGGAGACCTATCTGGACATCCTACGAGAATATAAACGTAACAATGATCTGCGACGCGGTCATGTGGAGTTCATAAAAGTCGCCCTCAAGTATATGGACGACTTCGGCGTGAATCGTGATCTGGCAGTATACAAAGACGTGTTGGATGTGCTGCCCAAGGGCAAATTTATCCCATACAATTGGTTTCAGACAATGTTTCCACACTATCCTAAACAGCAGCAAGTCGCCATTGAGCTACTGTGTAAAATGGAACAAAACTGTGTGATCCCAGATATCGAGATGCAGGAGATGCTGCTAAACACTTTTGGCCAGCATGGTGGACCATTGAAGAAGTTCTGGCGGATGATGTATTGGATGCCCAAGTTTGCAAATCTCAATCCCTGGCCATGCCCCAGACCGGCGCCCAAAGATCCACGGGAGCTCGCCAGACTGGCGATAGAAAAGATGTCTAGTATAGATGTGCAGACCATAATTACAGAATTTGAAACTAAGGATGTGGAAGATGCTCTTGAGGATACGTGGATTATATCTGGCATGAGTAACATGCAGGAGGAGCTGCTGCGGACACAATCACCTAACAATCCAATTTTTGTCGAAGGACCATACACAGTTTGGGTCGCAGACCAGTGTATAGATTACTTTGTGTTAAGAGGAGAGGTCAGGGTGAACAATTTTTACGAAGATACTGATGGTAATTAGCTTTTAGAAAAGTTAAATAATCTATTACTAATTAAGCTGGTAATTATAAAGAAGAATGAAAAAGTAAATTTTTTGTAAAATTCAAAAGTAAAAATAAATTAAAAATATCTTTACTTTCAGCTTCCTTTTCATAGTTATATTAATATGTCTATATTGATTCTATACTATATTATGCTAATCATCCAAATATATTTCTATCCAAGTATGACACTTCAATAAGAAAGTATTAATTTCTTTGCAGATGTATCGAATATCAGAATACCTTTCTGGGATAAGAAAGAGGTAATTGTTGTTCCTTCTGTTCACGAGCAAAACGACGGCACATATTTTGCAATATGCGCCACTGGCACATCCACGAAAGATTCCTTATTATCTTGGATACGATGCTTACAAAAGCGAAATCCTGTATTAAATATGATTCCGGTAGTATTCAAAGTGGCGTCGTCTACGAAAGAACAGCTGTTCCTCAGCAATAGTGAAAGTGAAAACAAAATTGTGCAGACTTAAGGATTAATACAAGGTACAAATTTAAATTTATTAAAAACTGAATAGTGATGTGACGAACGAACGCGCAATGTAGATAGATCTCGCTTGTATATAAAAATATACATATTTTTATGATTGACAATATTTTTCACTGAAATTATTTATTAATAATTTTCTATCCCGTATATGCAGAAATATAGTATTCTACATAATTAGTATTATTTTCATTGCTGAAATCTAATAAAACAAATTTATAAAAGTTGCTTAAAAATTTAAATCTTAATATTTTTATGATCAGAAATCATTTTTATCTCACTGATGGTAAAAATTAAATTATTACGTCTGTATATCAAGAGAACTAGGACGCGCGCGGGATAAAAATGAGAGACACATAGTACATAGAAAGTTAATATATTTTCTCTCTGTGCAACCACGTGTTGCTCTTGGTGCGCCTTTCCAGTGATAGGAATTAAAATAATACACGTAACTGGCGGTCAATAGATCACATTGATTCGCTGTACTCTCTTGTTCATTTACTATAAATACATTGTGATTAAAAAAAAATATAGATTTATGTATATACGTATATCTGTACAATTTCCGGCGCGATATACACCGCGTGCTGCTCCAACGATATTAATGCGTTAAGTCTAAACCGCTCTTTAAGAATATATTTATTTTAATCGCGCGAGCGTAAATTAAAATACACAAAATAGTAGTTCTTCCGCGCACATCTATATAAATCTATGATATGTCGTTATTTAAATCAAATCCGCATACGACCCGCGTAAGTTTCACATTAAGAAATCTAGTTTTCTTTAAAAAAAAAAAAGAGAAAATTCACCTTAAGGTACCTTCTTAAAATAGACCATGTATTGCATCGTTCCTTTGTGCGATGATGAATTTTCTACGAGGAGCGAACGCGAGTGTTATAGCCCCGATGAATTTTTGATGGCTGTGCCATCAGGTAGCACATAATTGCGTCGTTTACTACGTTTACACTTAACTCGTTTACACTTTGATTAATGTTGCGATCGTTAAAAGCCACCTATGTTTGTAATTTTTCGCGATGCAAAATAGCATTCGCTTAAAACACGCTAAAAATAGACACGCTATATGAATTGCGCTCAACCGCGAACATCTATTTCGCTACGCGACGATCGAGAGGATTTATCGGGAATTAAAACGTCCCAAATGCGTCGTGGATATTTGTGCAAACATATATGTTTCGATAGGAAGCAAACAGAACAGTGGAATTGAAAATATGTTTTATCATAAATAAAAAATTATATTTTTATCATTATTAAAATTACATTTTACGTTTATTCTTATTTTATGTCCACTTTTCAATTTGTTTTCTATCGAAATATATCTTATTTGTATAAACGTCCGTGGCCTATTCATAAATAATTGCATTTTACGCCACCATTACAATTACTACAATTAATATACAAATACTTTATTTAAATGCTTTCACGAATGAAGACGAATACTGCTAGGAAAAAGCTAATCACTGATAACGCGTCGACTTAACTTAAGACTCTAAATTTCAAAATTTGATTCAAACACCATCCTTGCACCCTGATTGTCTTTACACGAAAATAGTTGTGCCAGAAGTGTAAAAAAGCTTACAATTTAAAGTATCAAGCGATTTTATGAGCCATATTTAAATTTCATCACGATATAACGTTAATTGTTACTTAAATTTATTACAGCAAACTTACGTTCGCTGTTGATTGCGAATTTATTGTTAGGGAATGGATTTGCAATCAATAACGAATACAATGAATTTAAGTAACAATAGTTATCACACTTATCACTTTTTAAGTTTGCTGTGTAGGCATCGTTAATAAAAACGTTTTAAGTACAAAATGCAAAAGTACAATTGCCATTTCTTTACATCGCGAGACCATAATAAATGCAGTCTCTGGATCGATATTAAACAAGCAAGCACTGCATATAAAAAATATCGTTCCACTGCAAAACTAACTTTACAAAAAGGTTTCATTTATTTAATTATTCAATGATTTATCTTTTAATTCATTTACGATAGAAAAGCGAAGTATCAAACAAAAAATTGAAAATACCAAATGAATCACGTGATTTTTATCGAGGCACATTATCAATAAAATAGCACCGAAAAAAGATCGTTGATTGAAAACGCTTAATAATGCGATCACAATAATTATCATCGGTGCCGTCGATCTCTATCTTTTAAATAAATATAAAATATCATACACGCGATTAGCGCGAAATCGAAAAGCGCGAGGGACGGTAATCTCAACTGAAATCTGCTTGAGCTCAGGCGCAATTAACAAAGGCAAGGTCGCACGTGTTCTTATCTGATTTTGATCGGTTTTGAATATTTGTATAGTAGCTAAAAGTACACATATGAAAAAAATACATCTCTCTTATTTCTAGCTATTTTACGACATATTCCAAGTCCGTCAAAATCGGAGAAAGATATTCACATCCTTTTAAGATCAAGCAGGTGTGTCGCGCGATGTTTTGCATTAGGAAGCGTCTTCGATTTCTCCGCCACATATATATATAAAATTGGATTCGCGCGTCACCGCGGTTCACGCCGCGCTGGCAGGTGGAATGTTCAGTGTTCTCGGAAAGTACGTGAGAAATCGCTGAACAGTCGTATCGAATGGAACAATAAAACTACTATAAATAATTCCTGCATACACAAAATTGTGCGGCAGCGTAAACCGACGTGACGTAGGCTCGCGTGTTGCTTTTCAACTGAAGCGCACTAAAATTGTTTTTTCCGCGTTGAATAAAATATCATATTGATCGAAAAGTTTGTCCGCTTTTCCATTAATGCAGAAAAGAAACGGACAAATTTTCAGAGCAACGTGATATATTATGCCGTAGAATATCGCGAAGATGAATAGTAGGGCAAGACAAAGGAACTTTACGTCTTCGAGAGTGTCGCGGGGGAAGGAACCGCGACCTTGAGGCTGAAGACCGTTTGACGACCTCGTTTGGTTCGTTCACGCGGAGTAACTCAAGCAGGTCCGTTCGCGAACTGGTTCCTGAGCTCGTCTCGTGTAGACCTTCAATAGTTGGCAGTGTACCCTGTACGTAGTACAAACATTTAGTGAGATACCTTTAAGAGATATGTAAGCACTTAAAACAAACATTTTAAAACAAACAAATTTCCATGCGAGGCTATCCCATAGATTCTATATTTTATAACAATTTACAGAACTTCAAAGAATCAAAGTACTTTTAAATTATTAGTTTTGTGTTGTGCATCCTATTTATTATATTTATTTCTTATAATTATAATTTTTTTAAATTAAATAATTATATTTCTTTGTAGTTTAATCCTCCAATGTACTTTGGGAGTTAAAATAATTCTATAATTTTCTTATCGCATATAATTTTAAAGATATTATATTATACTTTAACTATATACAGAAATTTTTAATTTAATTAGTAAATATTTGATTGTACATATTGGAGGATTAATATATCATTTAGCACAATACGAAATATTTATATTGACAATACGATTACCAAGACATATTGTTTACTCGCCTGATTTTCACGTTGGTATTTTCGATCACCTCGCCGTCACAGTTCCACACACTGAGCTGGGAACCTGACCGGACCACATTAGTAAGCTCGCTCTCGTGCAGCGTCGGCAGGGCGCGGAATGTGAATTCTCTCGCTCGATAAACCTCGACAAACGGTAAATCGTACTGCAACACGGAAAAAATCCTTTAGAATTTTTCAATCTCGAATTTAGAATGTTTTAAGATACAATCCTGATTTTTTTAAACGCTCTGAAATTTTATAGCGCAATCCTAATTTTAAAGTTATACGTTTCAAAATTATACGACTCTAATTTGAGCGTTTATTTTTAGGTTTCCTATACGTATGAGCGATTTGGCAATCGTAGCCCGTTAAAAGGAATCGATAATTCATCGAATAAATAATTGATTAGCACACCAGAGTCTTATTTTTGCTGGACAACCTGAGCAGCAATCTGACGTTATTTATAAGGGACGTGTGTCGAATTAGAATCACGTCCACGCAACCGTCGCCTATGTGACAGTGAGGGCTGAAACCCATGGGACTTCTGGAGCACGCACACGATACGTTGGCGCCATTCACCATGAAGAACTTTCCTCTGACTGTCTTCCACCCTGCGCGAACGAAAGGTAAAAATGTTATTCACATAGTTTTATTCGATTTTATATCATTGCAATTTTTATTTTCTTATTTTTTTTTTGTTTAATATATACATACTGGCAATTTCCTCGTCGGGAACGCTGTTGTGCATATGCTGTAGACATCGCGAGCAGTTCTTCAGGCATCTAGTGCTATCTGCTGGATGACACGGGTCTGATAGCAACTCAATCTCACCCTCGTAGCCTTTGTTTGCAATTATTTTTTTAAATCCTGAAGTCACAAAGATTTAATTAATTCGACATTTACAAAATCTCATTTCTTACAAAAGGTTGATATTAATTATATTAATTCCATGAATATTGATCATATTTATCATATAAAAAATTATTTCGCATTACATTCTGTAATTCAAGTCGAATAATTAAATTTCATTAGCGAGACTTGTGCAATAAAAATTGTTCGCTTTAAATTAAACGGCTTACCGGACCAATCGTATCTATGGGGTCCCATCCAGCGGAATTTTTCACTATCGCGGATTACGTCACCCAGATAGCCGTAACTGAGCACGCTGGCGTACAGCCTGAGTAGGTTGCGGTTATTGTGAACAGATGAGATGTCGAGGCCGATTGAGTCGCCGAAGATGATGTGTATGGCGGCGGTTTGCACGTCCGTGGTGCCGTGCAGGCTGTAGGCCACCGTGTCGGTGCTACCGCTGGGTATAACGCCAACAGGTAGGGCGGGGTTGGGTAGCCGGGCGTCCGGGTCATTGGGATCGATCTGCTGATCCTTTGCAGCTCGCAGAACTAGGCCGTTGAACACCTCGGCGAAAGTACCGTCGCCGCCGATGCACAGCACCGCCTGGAATGCGCCGTATAAGTTGAATTTGTGTTCGAGGATGACCCGATTTGTTTCAATGCAAAGCCTTTGCAGCTTGAGAAATCATTAATGATGGTTTATATTTACTATATAGAGATCTAGAAAATCGACAAATCTATATTTTTCAATATTTTCTAAATATAATACATAGATGGATACAGAAATTTATAAATCAATCGATTTTCCGGGATTAATATCAAATGATATTTTGTAATGTGTATGAAGTTAGCCCCACACTTTAATAAAATTAAAATAATCGAAATTGTACTGCATTGTACTAGTTTTGTACCAAATTGTACCGTAGTTAATTTTTTGAAATCACGCGCGGATTTCCAAAAATCGAAATTTTTGAATTTTTGAGTAGCCCCACACTTTTCGAAAAATGATTTTTTTCGACTGTACTACATTGTACTTGTTGTACCGAACATTGTACCGTTGGAAAAAAATTCCTAACAAATTTGGATTTTGAGAAAAACAAGAAAATCGAAAAATTTTGGACATTACGTAATTATGGCAAATCGGCTATTTTTTAAGATATCGAAACGCGGCCAACGGGGTTCGAAAGAGAATCGTTTGTACCGGTTTGTACCGCTTTGAATTTCGTTTGCACCTCAACCGGACCGGAAGTACCGAATTTTGCAATTTTTAACAATACGTAAATACGGTAACTCGGCTATTTTTTAAGATATCGAAACGCGGCCAACGGGGTTCGAAAGAGAATCGTTTGTACCGGTTTGTACCGCTTTGAATTTCGAGTTAACGTATTTACGTATTGTTAAAAATTGCAAAATTCGGTACTTTCGGTCCGGTCCTGTATAAGAATCTAACCGCATGTTAAAATTCAAAATAAAGATGGTCCAAATTTCATGATATTATAATAGCATATTATAGAAAGTCAAGTCAGTCTTTGTTCAGAAACAAGATGTACTTATAAAGAGAAAATTTCGTAGGATTAAAGTTGACGAAATTTCCGAAGAATCAAATATATATGATACATAATGTAGTGTAGCATTTTTAATATGCGATCAATGATGTGACTGTATAAATCGTGATGGCGTTTTTTCCCGAAATTATTCAATTCAATTTTTCACAATCATTCACTGGCTAAAGTCTCTGGCCTCGTCGTCAGTGAGACTTGTTAGGATTAAATAATTTGGCAACTAGCAACTTCCGGTGCAACAAATTTTCACTGCACTCAAATTCAAACGTTGTGTTCAATGCTGAATTCTGAAACCGGTGGCGGTAGATATCTTAATGCTTGTGAAAACTATCGTGCCTTATGTTGTGCAAGATTTTTGAATAACAAAAACGTTTCGCGAAAGCAAGTTCTCTCCCCATAAATATAATAATTCCACGAATAAAAGAAGAAACAA